TCTTTATTTTTTATGAATAAGGCCATTAGCATATACCGTTTTTATAAGTAAATCTTATAGCGTAATGCCATAATAGTATGTATATGAGTTTTGACTGGCGAAATATGCAGTTTGTCAACTAAATAAAAAAAGCGTATATGAGTAAACGTAACCACATTAAAAAAAGGTTTTAAATATTGAATGGCGCAACACAACAACTCTTTTTGTTGCACGAAACCCTTGAACACGTGCCTGCCATCTATTTCTTCTGTTTCGACATTTCGCTATTTTGTATTTCTTTCATTTTGACGTCATTCGCATTGTCAGATTTTTGAAATTCGTTTTGGTTTCTAAATCCTGCTATTTCATAATTTTTTCATTCTCATGTCATCCATCTTCCATTTTTTACCTTCCATTGCCGTTCGCATCGTCGAACGTGCCTGTCAAACACTGCTGCCATCATGCTTTTCAGTTTGGCAGGCACGTCCGCTGTTTGGCAGGCTCGTCCGCTGTTAGAAAGAGAATAGACAAAAAGGGGCATAGGATTCCATACTTGTAAGTATATACGTTGGTAATTTTCACATACAAGTCGTGTGTGCGCAGCTACCGAACTTATGCGCCGCTAGCAGCCGGTCAGTTTGCGTTTGTACTTCATGCTGTAAGCATCACATGCGCGAGCTGTTTTGCTGAGTACACACATACAGATACAAAAATATTGCGCTTGTATTGGGAGCTCTGCTAACGCTGTGCCCCACTGTACTACACACATGAAATGATTTCAAATGGTCAATTAACAATTTTGGATTATGTACATGAAAATTGCAAAGAAAGCACGTAAACATTATACAGGATTAATTTGACAATTTGTTTGTACTTTCCAAATAATTGATTAATAATAATATATTCGGGTTTACTGAGCATTCAAATTTAAAAAAGTATTTTTCTATGAAATTGAACAAATATTTAGCTTCTATTGGGTATTAAAAATTTAATACATGAAATAATTTATATAATATGTCAAGCGCTCTTACAAATGTTGGTACTTTATAAAGTATACTATCAAAAACAATATAATAACTTTCTAATCTTGACAATTCTTTTCCTATGACCAAAATTAGTGGTTGCAGCGAAATACCTCTTTCCATGGCTTTACATTTCATTTCGTCATACTTTCTCTGGTAGTCATTTACACATTCTCAGTGCAGCACTTTGTGCGTCACATATAGGTAGACGGTTTCCATTTAAGTCGCTTACTACCAGGAGTTTTACCAATGGAAACTAGTGGTGGTTTCAGTATAGAATGCATTAGTAAGGTTATTATGCAGTCGGCTGAGTCTAAATGAATAAGTAAATTTAGAATGACAACAACTAACAAAGTATACAACTTTACCCGAGTCAACATTGTCATCAATCATGAGTAGCATATTGTTTGATGCAGTATCTTTAATTTTGTCTCTCTTTTAAAATTGGGCCACTCATTGATCAAATTTTGTGTGTTGTCGGTATACTTTGCCGTAAAATCTATTTCAATCTGCAATAATGAACGAAAAACTTTTTAAGGTATGCTCACGATAAGAAACACTAAACAAAAGCATGAATAAATCAGGGACCGTAATCCTTATTTTGTGATTTTTATTTTTTCGATAATTTTTAATCGTTATTTTGTGATTTTTAAGTTTTTCGATCAAAAATAATCGCGATTATTTTTTATTTGTTCGATAATTTTAAGTCTTAATAATGGAACTGCGTTTTTATTACCGATTTTATGAACTAAAAAAATTCATTCTGAAAATAACGGTTATAATGTGATCGAAATACCAAAAATCATAAAATAAAGATTAAAAATTATCGAAAAAATAAAAAATAATAACGATTATTTTTGATCGAAAAAGTTAAAATCATAAAATAACTACAAAAAATGCCTGTAAAATATAAATCTGAAACGATTTCGCAATTATAACGATTATAAATATAGGCCCCTATTGCGAGTGTCGACTGGCAGTAGAATAGAAATATGTCGATCGAGTCGATCTTCTTTTATTTTGCTATTGTAAAACTTGATCGATAAAAATTTGTACTATTGTGAATGTTTGACAGAATTGTAAACAGCTTTTTGTTTGTTTACATTTTTTCTTTAGTGTTTTATTTACATAATTTTTAAAATAATTGCTTTTTTTATAAAATTAAAAAAATGGACACAGTTGAAATATGGTTTAGTGATGAGGAAGATGATGTGGAAGCTAATAGATTAGTAGAGTTGGCTAAAGCAAGGAGGGAATTGCGCGATTCGTCGGATCCCTTGGAGTTGGAAGCTGAAGTGTATGTACATATGAGAGTTTTATGAATAGAAGTTGCGTTCCCGATGCTTCATGGTTTCTAGGCTTTACATGATTTGCAGGAAAAGCTGTTTTCCTCATTAATAAACTTTATAGTACCACTTTCTTATGTAAATTTTATAAACGCAAACTCCAACGACTAAAAAACAGCAAAATAAAGATGAGCGATTAAAAAGTATTCACAGTCGCTAATTGAGCGACTAAGCGACACTCGCAATAGCATCGATAATCGATAATCGCTTAATAGTCGTTTATCTACTGCCAGTCGACATTCGCAATAGGGGTGATGGCATGAACGAAAGACACAAGATCACGTAAGAACAAGAGAGTGAAAAAAGTCGATTTTTTTTTAGCGGGTTCTACGCCATCTTGTTTCACTGGAAAACAAACGAAAAGTAAACAAAGCAAAGAAAACAACGACAACCAAAATTTGCCAAAATTATTGTCAGCCACTTTAAACGCACAATTTAGGTAAAATGATGCAACAAAATGCTTTAAAATGTGTTGTCATGTTGAATTAACTCTTCTTTACTTGAATAAAAGTGTAAAATAGTGGTGCTTGTGATGTAAACAAACGCTCAGCTGACGAACCCGCTTTCGCAAACTTTTTTCTCAAAACCAGTTACAAATACAACGTCGCGTTCTTACGTGATCTTGTATTTTTGGTTCATGGGGTGATAGTATAATAATACTAACTAATGTATATCCAAGGGTGTGCTTAAGAGCGGCCAATCAGCAAAAATATTTACTTTTCCATCGAAAATATCCTGCCGTCTTATTTCGATTGTTTCGTTCCAGTTTTTTACTACATCACTCCAGGGCTCCATATTGTGTGCAAGCCACAATTTTTTGGTGATTGCATTCTGATCTAAAAGGGTATGTGTTATAAAAATATGCAAAATACTAAAGGCTCAAAATTTTTTAAAAGAAATTCAGAAATTCAGAAATTTTGCGATAAAAGTGATTAATAAGGAAAAAATGGAAATGGAATATTACCATTGCTGTATGACGCCGAATCTTTATTTTTTAAAACTTCTGTATCATTTAGCTTAACTTTGCTTGTTGAGTTTTCTACGAACATTTGTCGCTTTATCGTACAGCTTCCCTGTAGGATTTTTGCCTTCTCGGCGGTTACAATAATAACGCCGCGAAACAATAGAAATGTATGTCCTAACTGTGTACAAAACCTATGAAAATTCGACAAAATTTCCATTCATTTACTAAAGTGGGCTATAAGACTGCATACTTGAAATTTTTTTTTATACATTTTTTTAAAAGGGTTGCATTTTTGATGAAGCTATGCAGCACTCTCCTAAATTTCGTACACAGTTTAATACTTGGATTTATAACAAAGCATTTATATTATGGAAAATATTGCGAATATGTAAAAAAATCACCGTATACTAAATTTTTTCAGTATAACTTACCATGTTTTCAGTGGGAAATAAGGCCACTATTTGCTCCGAAAAATTCACAATATCTTTCATTGCGATAAGTAGAGACCGTTCGCTGAAGTAGTTCAAAATAATGTTCACTAAAGCTTCTCTGTGAACATCTAACAGAAATAATTTTTCTTTGTATTGTTGAAGTATACTATTTCCTTTTGGTGTGCTATTTAGAAGCACATCTAAGTTTGTTTGCGTGAATTTTGTATAATTTTGTGAATCCTGACTGCAATTCTGGCCGCTTTTACACGAACTTAAAGATGAAATAGTACGCGCCTAAAAAAATAGAGCATTAATAAATTTATGTTTAATAATAATAAAAATATATTTATTAGCTGCTTACTTACTGCGTTTTGTCGCCAATGCGAAAGTCTTTCCCGGAATTTAATCATTATACCAAGCATTGTTTGAGGAAAAAGTTCATTTACGTCTTCATCTTTAATCAGGTATAAGCTTTCTACATCCAAGCCACAATCTGAAAGTTTGTGATAAAACATTTAACATTTAAACACATAGCCCATTTGCATCATGAGCGCACATGTGCGCGAATTTTGACTGACTACTATCACAAGAGCGCATATGCAATTACTCACAAAAGTATTCGTTGTTTAGTTTTTGTTACGATATTCAGAATGTCTTGCATTATACATCCTTTTGGTTAATTGATTTAAAATATGACTCATTTTATATAAAAAACATATAAATCAATATTGGAGACTTTGTACAATATTCAAAAAATCAGCGAATTTCAAAAAATTATCATCAAAATTTCAAACTTTTTAATTAGATTTTTAAGAATCTTTTCAAGTAAACAGTTCTGTAGCTGATTTTTTTGAATTTTGTACAAAGTTTCCCACATTGATTTATATGTTTTTGTTATATAATGAGATAGTGATATACAGCCCTGTTCTGCATTTCGACTCATTTTGAAAAGTAAAACGACACACATTTCGACTAACTTTGGTGGTGGTGTTCTCAATTCCGAGTCAGATCGAACAAGTTCGAAATCGTTTTCGAATCGTTTTCATTTCGATTCGGTAATAAGTTGAAACAGCTGTTGTCAGTTATTTGTGTAAAATTAATTGAAATCTAAAAAAATTGATAAAATGCCAGCGCCAATTGGGGTGTTCCAAATTGTATCTGAAAATGTAGACGTCTACATTTTGAGACATCTTTAGCATCAAACTGTGAGCACCCCTTTCTAGCAGTCGTCGCAAAATCGTCTCAAAACTTTGCTGGTGTTGCCAGACATTTCTTCTTTGCGCGCATTTTTTATATGTCGCCTTTCGATTTTGTTTCTGAAAAATTGTAATTATTTAACTTAATTACCAATTCCTAATATTTGTTATTTCTTTCCTTGATTTGTTTCTTTTTATCAGAAATTGCGCTCAAATTAAATGCAAATACAGAAAACGTGCCCAATAAATAAAAAAAAATTTGATAAGTATTGCCATAATGCAACCCTGCTGCGAGGTTGCAAAATGTAGACGTGTAAAAAACATACCTTTGAGTGTGACAAAATGTAGACGGCGTCGTTTTCCAATTTTGTATGGGAAACAGCAACACCACAGATTTTACGGCTAGAAAACGTCTTAAAATGTAGATGTCTACATTTTGAGACACTATTTGGAACGAACTGTGAACACCCCAAATGATTTTTGGGTGTGCCGAGGCAAGAAGACAAACAAAAAAAAATCGTCAGCTAAGGATGCATGTAGACATATTTCAAAAGTTGGACTCCAAGTAAGTTTACCCTTCAATGTAATTTTCTTTGTCTAACTTGATCTGTACATACTTTTTAGGTTTATAGAGTCTTATCGCGTAAATAAAGATGTTTTCAAAATGCTGTTAGATAAAATAGGAAGCAGGTTAGCGGAAAGGCATTGGTTTATTACACCGACTACGCAACTGGCAGCCACACTCCGGTTTTTAGCAACTGGCTCCTATCAGTTGGGGATTTCTAAAGATCAAGATGTCAACATAGGCAGAAGCACCTTTTCCAAGGTATTGCACTTTGCTGTACAGGAGCTGGAGAGCTGCCTTTGTGAAGAATACATTCAGCTGAGGATGACGCCCGCGGAGATGAACGCATCAAAAGAGCATTTTTATAGGGAATTCAATTTTCCCGGTGTCATTGGGTATGTGGATGGAACACACATAAATGTGTCAAAACCAAGGGATGACGAGTCTCTGTTTTTTAATAGGAAGGGATACTTTAGCATAAATGCAATGGTGGTAAGCTGTTAAATAATAAACAATTTTCTTTGTAATAAAAACGCGTATATATTTATTATATTAACAGATTTGTAATTACAATATGGAAATAGTGGCAGTAGATGCGAGCCACCCGGGTTCATGTCATGATTCATTTATTTGGAATCAAAGTTATGCAAGGCAATTTTATAGCAACAATCGCGCTCAAAATACTTGGATTTTGGCAGATTCCGGCTACGCCTTGGAAACCTTCGTAATGACGCCATATAGGAACCCACAGCATGGATCAATAGAACAT